ATGTGTCCAGTTATGTTGGTTATAGAACGGTTTGCCTGTGGTGCAGGTCGTGATTCCTTTTCTGCAGCTACACTTATATGAGAACAACGGCGCAAGACACAAAGCGCCTTGAGCCTCCCCCTAGAACTGCCCAGCGGAGCGAGCTTTCGGGGCAGTCTGGGCGGGTGCCGTGGCTGTCGTGGGGCGCTTTGGGGTCCTCTCGGGGTACATTTAGATCCGATCGACCCGTTTCGATGTCGATTCCGGTTGGTCCAATCCGTTGCAGTTCCGACTTTCCCGCGGCCCGAAGCGGCCCGATGATGACGTGGCGCTGGTGTGCACCCTGGTGCAGCCGATCCGGTCCGATTTTGACTCCGTGCCGATGCAGCGCGACCCCATGCGCATTCCGATTCGATACGGCTTCCCGTGTCGGTGCTAACCGATCTTGTTTTTGGGGGTCCTCGGCCTGTCCTTGGCTCCCGAACTTTATTGAAGCCGTCTGTTCAGAGGACGAACATACACCGATGCCGATGCTAGTCCTGGAGAGCCGCATCGCCACGGCTGGGTTCGCCTCGGCATTCTGGTAAGAGTGGACCCCGGGATAGGTCTGGGGAGTGGCGATATCGTTGTAGTTTTGTCTTCCCATCTGAGGCCGAACAGCCTGGTTATCTGCGACCATCGGAGCACTTCATGTTTCCCCGTATTGGCCTCCTGGAGCCCCTTCTGGTAGAGATCTCTTTGGGGGGAGGGGGGCCTACTGTGATCTTGGATCTTTGGGGCTGTTGGTCCTATCTTGGTCTTCTTGAGGCGCCTGGGACAGTTTTGGAACCGCAGTGATGGTCATACTACTACCCTCGACAACATTGACCTCGAGAGTGAGTGACGCAATTTCGAGGTATTGTCGGTCATTATGGGAATTCCGAGTCGCGTCAGCCCAGTCCGCGTGGGGGCCCGCTTGACGATGGCGACATTGACGGGGGGGGACAGGGAGCGATTTTGCAGGGTCGCGTCAGCAACATGTTATGCCACTTTTGTTGAGGTAGGCGCCGTCTCGAGGCAAGAGAGAGTAGGACAGAGTGACAGAGAGACAGACACATCTATTTCTGTCATACATTGATTCCTTAAACCAGTGCTTGCACTCCATGGCTTCCCATTTGTTTTCTAAGGAATTGGGCTGGTGCGCCGCTCCAGGCGGCTATGTCGTTGCGGTCGCCGCTCCGTCGCCGCTTCGTCGCCGCCCGTCGTCTGGGCTGGTGTGCCGCTCTGGCGGTGAGGGAGTCGCCGTCGCAGCCCCGTCGCCGCCTCGTCGCCGCCCGTCGTCTGGGCTGGTGTGCCGCTCTGGCGGCTTTGTGGTCACCGTCGCCGCCTCGTTGCCGCCTCGTCGCCGTAATATATATATATATATGTATATATACATATATATACATATATATACATATATATATACATATATATACATATGTACATATATATATATGTATGTGCACACATTTTTCCTGTCCAAAAGAGTACCAGGATCTTTTCCCCTCCGGACTTGACGTGTCCCATGTTCGTATTGGAGATCGCATATGATTATGCCACATTGTTCATCCTATCAATGAACGCTTATCATCCCAGTCAAACCGGTGACGCCTCCCCCTCGTCGTCTGCAACAAGTAGATATGCGCGCACTCGTTTATCAAGAATCACCAGTGGTCAAGACTCCCCTGAAACAGCAGGACGAAGTGCACACGCGCGCGCCGTCGCGCGCGCATGCCGATTTTTTTGAAAAACCTTGAGTTTCGCAGTGATTCCCAAATCAAATGTCACGACAACATATAAGCATACATGGTTTCGTAAAACAGGGTTTTCAAACAAAGCTTGCGTTCGCGCTCTTGCGGCATCTTGGGGAAACCATCAGTTTTCTTGAACAGGTTCGAAACAACTACCAAGCGGGCCTCTCGCGCGCGCATGTCGAATTCGTTCGAACGCCCTTGCGCGCGTGGCTGTCGCTTTTCAAAAGGTGTGGCGAAGTGCGCGCGCGCGCGTCGTCGCGCGCGATTGCCGAAAGCATATTTAAACACATATTTACTTCGCAGTAGCAGTTTTCAAACAAGCTTGTGCTCGCGATCCTGCGAATTCTTAGGGGAAACATGCGTGTTTGAACACGTTCTTTATATCCGCTGCCGAACGGGCCTGTATCGCCGCATGCCGAACTCATTTGCACGCCCTTGCGCGCGTGCTGGTGGGTGGCACGATCCGTGTCGAATAACACAGTGCGGGCCACTCTCGAACGTCGGCCGCGCGCGCATGTCGAAATCCTTCCACAAACTTCATCACCGACGCGATGACGCCGTCATCTCGCGCCCGCCCAAGTCGCCGACTCGCAGTGTGGCGCCCGCTGGGATGTGCCCAGCGGTCAGCGCCGCGGAAGGGAGAGACGAGGATAGCGGAGGCGAACGTAATCGCGATGGTGAATGCGCGGCGTAAAGGATAACATTTGCGAAGCGGCATTCTGGAAGGAGGGGGGCGTAGCCAGCAGAGGAGGCTATGCAAAGCAGAGTTCGCCGGGCGCGGAATTGTCGGGCGTGGGGTCCCACGAACAGAGCTCCTAGGAGGGTGCGGGGGTCGGACCTGGTGGTGGCCTGGTGGTGGCCTTGTGGTGGCCTGGTGGTGACCTGGTGGTGACCTGGTGGTGGAGTGGTGGGGGCTCAGGGCGGAATTGTCGGGTGAAGGGTCCCAAGAACAGAGCTCCCAGGAGGGTGCGGGGGTCGGACCTGGTAGTGGCCTGGTGGTGGCCTCGTGGTTGCGGAGACCTGGTGGTGGCCTGGTGGTGGCCTGGTGGTGGCGTGGTGGGGGGTCTGGGTCGGTTCCGGGCGCGGAATCGCATAGGTTTTTCAAAGCAAGTTGCGGGTGGGTGGGTGGGGTGGTTGCGCGAGCAGTGAAATTGACAATTCATTGCGGGCGCTGTTGATTTGCACCACGTCGACGCCACAACCATCGCACAACGTAGACGTAGATTGCGCCACATAGATTGCATCACCTATATTGCACAATGTTTCACACAACTCATACATTGCATAGCGCAGATGCGCAATATAGATTGCACAACGACTTCTGCACCTCATTTTTACACTCCAAATATGTCACAACACGCAGGTTTCACAGCATATACTTCCTTCGTGCAACAGTATTGTGATGTACCTCTCCCCCCGGGCTTCACGGTCCACTCTTTCCGTAGCGCGCTTTACACATCATTTTGTCCCTACGGGTTTTCCCCAGTCCAGGCTAACGCTGATCGACCGCCCCACGCACTCTTTGCAGCAGATGCCATGCGTGCGCACTCGTTTATAACATCCGGCATTTCCCAATCGCCCTTTCTAAACGAATGACGAAACACACACGCGCGCGCCGTCGCGCCTTCAGCTTCGTAACGGTTTCAAAATCGAAAGCACCGAAGACACACCAAACAGCATGGACTCGCACCGCAAATTTTCAAAACAACATGCGATCGCGCCCTTACGACTTCGAAATAACATTATGTGGTGTTAACATTTTCACGACATGCAGCCAAACGTGCCTCTCGCGCGAGCATGCCGAAATCGTTCGAAAGCCGTTGCGCGCGTGCTGTCGCAAGAAGCCCTTGCCAGACACAGGACGACGTGCACGCGCGCGTCGTCGCGCGTGCCTGCTGGAATATTTCAACAACGCTTCGTCCAGTAAAGATTTCAGCATCTAGCGTCCCGAATCCATATGAAGTCAAACAAGCCTGCGCGCGCGTTTTTGCGAACTCCTTATAAAACAAGCCATGGCTCTTCAACATCGGGCTTCTCGCGCCGCATGTCGAAACCATTCGAACGCCCTTGCGCGCGCGCTGGGGGTGGACGCGGTACTTGTCTCAAAATACCATGCGGGACGCTCGCGCGCGTCGGCCGCGCGCGCATGTCGAACTTTTTTCCCCCAGAAAACCGTTCATCATCGACGCGGGGACATCGCCATCGTCACCGGAGGTTGTGATCATCATCGGTGCCGTCATTTGCCTTCCCGATCTCATCGCTCGTCACATTCATCGTTTCTATCATCATCGTGTCTACCGTTGTTGGCGTCGCCATCTACCGCGCCCGCCCAAGTCACCGAATTGTGCTGCAAAGCCCGTTGGACAGTACCCAGCTGTCATCGCCATCTCGGCGGCGTCGGTCGCGCCAAATGTCTGGCCGTTGTGCGCGCGAGCGTGCGTGGGTGAGTGCGGCCGCAGATATGCACCAGCTTACACAAGACACTAATCGCAATTGCCGCCGCATGGGTTTTGCAAACCAAGTTGCGGGTGGGTGGGCGGGACGATTGCGCGAACAGTGGGGTTGACAATTGCGAGTTGCACCACGTCGACTGCACCAGTTGGACTGCGCAACATTTGTTGCACAGAATATCTAGTGCCCGACTTGGACAACGTCAAGTACGTTGCCTTTCATTTACGGCACAACATGTGTTGTTGGAAGCACACAAGTGGAGGTCCGCGCAGGCAAACGTGTAGGCACAATCACAGATACCCACACAATTTTAAATACACACACATATATATGCAGATGTACATGTGTTCAACCATATAAGCATATATGTATACATATATATATATATATGCACACATATATATATATACACATACATACATACATATACATATACATATATATATATATATTAACAAGAGCGGGGTATGTATGCGTATGGACAGGGAAATAGAATTATAGAGAGAGAGAACTAACAAGACAACGAAATATAACGAGAGATAACGAGAGCGAGGGAGACATATAAACGAGAGAGAGAGAGAGAGAGAAAGAGGTAACAACAACGAGAGAAACAGAGAGAGAGAGAGAGAGAAACAACGAAGGAGCGAGCGAGAAAGAGGAAGAGTTGGCAAGTCAGGCCCCTAAAACCTTCCTCTGGCCAAGTGAGGCCCTCTCCCTCCTACTTCTTCCGCCGCCGCCGACGACGACGATGCCGACGACCCTGCAGAGCCGCACCGCGGCGTCGGCTCGCGGCAGGTGCAGGTGGCGAAGCAGGCGCTGAGGGAGGCGCCCGCGCGCGTGGTTGGCCCGCGCGGCGGGGCGGGCCTTCCCAGAGGACTTGCCGCTGCTCGATAGAGACGAAGACGTCACAAAACACCACAGAAGCATGATCAGAGGAGGAAGAGGTACCGATGCCGCCACAGTTCCCTCCTTTGTTTTTCTATCTTTGCGGGCCTCCTGGAAGGCCCTCGTCGCCACTGCTAGACTCGCAGCGAGATTCTGGTCAGAACGCACCCCAGGAGAGGTCCGAAGAAGGCAAACTAGCACACATAGGCAGATGAGGAGCAAGTACCGGTACCCCTTCAGATTGGTAACAGGATCTGGGAGGCCCTATTAGCAGGGGGGTTCCGCCTGAGACTTCCTCGCGATTCACTCACAGTTGAGGCTCCCGCTCGAGATTTCTTCAATTTGCATGTGTAGTGTTGAATATAAGAATACATGATTGAGCGCGCGAGCTGAATACATGACAGTATGGATGACGACGACGATGATGATGAGGATGCTGATGATGATGCTGATGATGTTGATGATGCTGATGCTGATTCTCATGGTTACTATTATCAGTATTACTACAAGCCCTCCTTGGCTTGGTATTCGTTTTGAACAGAACACTGCGATCGAGTCTCCTCCTCCTCCTCCTCCTCCCGCCTCCTGCCTCTCGCCGCTCTCTCTCTCTCTCTCTCTCTTTGCCTGCGGTACCTGTCCAGGACCTCGCCGTCCTTGGGAGGCTGCGATCTGCGACGTTGTCGCCACTTCCGAGGGCTGCTGGTGGGTCCAGCGGAGTGAGGCACCGCGCAGACCTGAGCGGGACCTCGCCGTCCCTTGGGGGCTGCGACCTGCGACGTTGTCGCCACTTCCGAGGGCTGCTGGTGGGTCCAGCGGAGTGAGGCACCGCGCAGACTTGAGCGGGACCTCGCTGTCCCTGGGGGGCTGGGATTTGCGACACTGTTGCAATTTTCGAAGGCTGCTGGTGGGTCCAGCGGAGTGAGGCACCGCGCAGACCTGAGCGGGACCTCGCCGTCCCTGAGGGGGCTGCGACCTGCGACGTTGTCGCCATTTTCGAGGGCTGCTGGTGGGTCCAGCGGAGTAAGGCACCGCGCAGACCTGAGCGGGACCTCGCCGTCCCTTGGGGGCTGCGTCCAGCGGAGTAAGGCACCGCGCAGACCTGAGCGGGACCTCGCCGTCCCTTGGGGGCTGCGACCTGCGACGTTGTCGCCACTTCCGAGGGCTGCTGGTGGGTCCTGCGGAGTGAGGCGCCGCGGGACCTGAGCGGGACCGTGAGACTCCGCGCAGACCTGAGCGGGATTCGCCGTCCCTGAGGGGGCTGCGACCTGCGACGTTGTCGCCATTTTCGAGGGCTGCTGGTGGGTCCAGCGGAGTAAGGCACCGCGCAGACCTGAGCGGGACCTCGCCGTACCTGGGGGCTGCGACCTGCGACGTTGTCGCCACTTCCGAGGGCTGCTGGTGGGTCCTGCGGAGTGAGGCGCCGCGCAGACCTGAGCGGGACCTCGCCGTCCCTGAGGGGGCTGCGATCTGCGACGTTGTCGCCACTTCCGAGGGCTGCTGGTGGGTCCTGCGGAGTGAGGCGCCGCGCAGACCTGAGCGGGGCCTCGCCGTCCCTGAGGGGGCTGCGATCTGCGACGTTGTCGCCACTTCCGAGGGCTGCTGGTGGGTCCCCCAGATCGTCGCCCACCTATGACATTGCGAGCCGTCCGCCACGTGTGGGCCCCCGAGGCCTCAACAGCGACCCAAGAGGCCCCAAAAGGTCCCCAAAGTGGCCCCACGAGGCCTTCGTAGGACACTCATGAGCCCATAAGAAGCTTCAAAACTCGCTCCACGAGGCGCCCGAGAAGTCTGTCAAGAGGCCCCGAATTACAGATATCCAGCAAGCCCTTGGCCGCAAACTTGCGCACGGCAGTGGTAGCGGTATGGGCCGAAGGCCATACATAACCAAGCAATGGTTTTGCGACGGACCCATCCTTATGTAGTCATGTGTAGTGAAGCACGCCTGTCTCTTTCTACACTTCGCGCCGCGGGGCAATGCGGAAAGATGGCTGCTGCGCTGCGGAGCACGCGTGTATGGGTGCTCCGAACTGCTGGTAGGGCGCGGTCCG